CAGGCTGGCCTCAAACTCCTGACCTCGTGATCCACCTGCCTCGGCCTCCCAAAGTGTTGTGATTACAGGCATGAGCCACCGCGCCCGGTTGACCTCTGGCAATTTTTAAAGCTTCTAGAACAGTGGTCCCTGTCCTATAGGCAAATTTACAAAGAGCATTGTCTAAATAGTGCTTGTCCATTAGAGGCATATATGTAATTCCAATTTTCAATCTTCCAGTAGACACACTGAAAAGATTTCTTTAAGAAGTTTAATGTATTTTAACTCAATATATCAAGTCTTTTTTTTTTCTTTTGAGACAGAGTCTCGCTCTGTCACTCTAGCTGGAGTGCAGTGGCATAATCTCAGCTCACTGCAACCTCCGCCTTCCGGATTCAAGTGATTCTGCTGCCTCAGCCTCCCAAGTAGATGCGACGACAGGCACCCGACATCAGGCCTGGCTAGTTTTTGAATTTTTAATAGAGACAGGGTTTCACAGAGTTTCACCATGTTGGCCAGGCTGGTCTCGAACTCCTGACCTTAAGTGATCCGTTTGCCTCAGCCTCCCAAAGTGCTAGGATTATAGGCATGAGCCACCACACCAGTCAATATATCCAAGTCTTATCATTTCAGTATACTATCTATACAAACCAGGGTACCAATGCAATATTTTATATTCTTTCATAAGTCTTCAAAATCCAGACCGCATAATGAAAAGTTATGCAGTATGTATTTTACACTTGTGTTTTACAGATCAATTCAGATCACCCACATTTCAAGTGCTCAACACAGCTAGGGGCTACCATATCAAAAAGTCTAAAGGCTCATGAAACAATGTTTATACCACACACTCATGGGACTTCCTTTTCTTCCTTTTTTTTTTTTTGAGACGGAGTCTCGCTCTGTAGTCCACGCTGGAGTGCAGTGGCGCGATCTCAGCTCACTGCAAGCTCCGCCTCCCGGGTTCACGTCATTCTCCTGTCCCAGCCTCCTGAGTAGCTGGGACTACAGGCGCTTGCCACCGTGCCTGGCTAATTTTTTGTATTTTTAGTAGAGACGGGGTGTCACCGTGTTAGCCAGGATGGTCTCGATCTCCTGACCTCGTGATCCACCTGCCTTGGCCTCCCAAAGTGCTGGGATTACAGGCGTGAGCCACCGTGCCCAGCAGGACTTCCTTTTTAAGAACTGGTGAATTCACAGTCTTCAGTTATTTTTCCCCATTGTTGTAAGTAGCCTCTAACCATAGGGGATTTGCCAATTTGGGTGAGATTATGGGGTCTTCATGTTGGAAGTGACTGGAATACCTTTAGAACAACCTTTACTTACGTGAAAACTATCCACATCAAGTAAACTATGCTTCAGGATCCTCCTTGAGAGGTTCCTATAACTCACAAACCTAAGCATCTCTAAACACAGAGGTTAATTACAAGCCCTTTGTCTCCCCTGTCCTCTAGACTCATACATTTATCTATCTTACTTACCCCTATCCCATCTAAGTCCTTCCACCCATCTTCAAGGTTTGGCTCAAAAATCACACTATATCCCAAAGTCACCTTTTGAACCTCTGTCTGCTGATTGCACTTCTATTCAAGTGTCAGTTCTGAGGGGGGTGTCTTATAACAGGTTCATTCTCAAAATCACCTTTAGCATCCCAGCACTCAAAAGATAGCTATATACTAATTATATCAAAGTAAATAGTACAATTTCCCATTTGTTTTAATACCCAAAAGAAGCAAAATAAAATCTAAGCATAAAGTACATACCTTTGGTGGAGAGCTTTGTATAACCAAATCAACCTCAGGGATGTCTAACCCACGTGCAGCAACATTGGTTGCCACCAGAACTCCAAAACTACCA